TGTCAGCAGTAGCAAAGACTAGGTCGTCGACATACACGAGGACGTAGAACGGCGGTAGTAAGGTGTCGGTGCGTAGAAACAGCGACGGATCAGCAATAGCAGGAGCAAACCCAAGAGCCGCAAGTGTAGTCCTCAGTGTGTCGTGCCACTCGCGAGGCGCCTGGCGAAGACCGTAGACTGGCCACTGAAGACTCCACTGAGTACCTCCAAGAAAAGACTCAGTGAAACCAGGTGGGCGGCGCAGCCAGATCTCCTCGTGCAGGCTGCCCTGCAGGATAGCTGTGCTGAAGTCCAGAGAGTGCAACTCATAGTCACGCTGAGCAGCGACGTGCAGCAACACCCGAAGAGTAGTCATCTTCGGGGTGGGGGAGAAGGTATGGAAGTAGTCAACTCCCTGTCACTGACTGAAGCCTCGAGCAATGTAACGCGCCTTGAAGGCAGGCGGAGAACCCGACGGCCGCTTCACCCTGAAGATCCACATGCCATCGACTATGTTCGCCCGAGGCGGGGGAACCTCGTCGATGTAGGTGCCTGTGGACTTCCAGGATGCCATCTCGGCATCCATGGCTGCCTGCCACTGAGAGGAGTAAGGATCCATAATCGCCTCTGCATAAGAGCGCGGGGTCGGGATGTCTGGTGCATCCGGGTCTCCCTTAGGGGCAAGCGACATGGAAGCGAAACGAGGTACAGCAGCTGCAAGACACTCAAAGTCCTCCTGCCTGTCCTCAAGGACGTCCGTGCTAAGAGCACACTCACCCCTGACGGACGGAGGACTCGCAGACGTAGACTCAGCAACGAGAGCAGTGGTGTAGTCTAAACGGCAGGTAGCAGCAAAGTCAAGCAGCTCAGCAACGAGAGCAGACGCAGCAGCAGACTCAAACGAAGGGTCTGTAACAACAGTGGCAAGGAGACGAGAGACAGTGGGACTGGCAGCACGAGCGCGGTCAGACTCAGGGTCAGGGACGGCAGGAAGAGAGGACTCAGGAGGAGCAGGCAGAGGAACACGCAGGGGAACAGAGGAAGGACGAAGGGTCATAGCGTGCGTGCCAGGGACAGGAGGAGGACGCGAACGAGGAACACGGCTAGCAGTGCGAACAAGCGAGACATGACGAGATAAAGGCGCATGACGCTCTGTAAGACCGCCGTACTGCTTAGTGTAAGGAGAAGGAGCAAGCAGTGGAGAAGCCGGCTGCAATGGCGGCTGACATTGGTCGGGCAGTGGACACAGGAGGGGAGGAGTAAGGCTAGTAAAAGATGGGGTACCAAGAACCTACTGAAGGAGGGGAACGAAGTACAGTTGCGGCCGCACAGCGCCACCAGGGTCAAGAGCTCCAGCTCCTGCAGCTCCAGTGCCTCCAACTCCAGCGCCTCCTGCGTCCGTGCCTCCAACTCCACCTCCTCCAGCTCCAGCGCGACCAGCGCCAGAGCCGCCTGCTGCAGTAGCTCCAGACTCCGTAGGGTCTCCAGCTCCAGCACCCTCAGCACCACCAGTCCCGGCAGCTCCAGTACCCCGGGTACGAGCACCTCCAGGACCAGTGGCCGCAGTACCTCCAGTAACACCAGCTCCAGCAGCAACTCCAGTACCTCCAGCTCCAGCAGCTCCAGCACCTCCAGCTCCGGTAGCTCCAGTCCGAAGGCATGCGCGCCGAACAAACCACTCACGTAGCTGCTGCGGAAACTGCCTCGTGGAAGCACCAGCAGAACCTCTAGACAAAGCAGCACCTTTAGGCTCAGCACCTCCAGACTCCGCACCCTCCGACACAGCACCCCCAGGCTCAACACCCTCGGGCTCAGCACCCCCAGGCTCACCACCCTCAGGCTCAGCACCCCCAGTCTCAGCACCCTCAGACTCCGCACCCCCAGGCTCCGCACCCCCAGACGCAGCACCCCCAGATGCAGCACCTCGAGCAGCACCTGAGCCGACAGCTACCTGAACAGGCGCCGGACCAGGGAGTGGGTCTACCTGAGACACACGTGAGGGAGCAGGACCCTGGGGCGGGAGGGGGTCTACCGGAGGGTGGCCGGGAGCAAGGAAGAGCGGCGGGGGCAGGGGAGGGGCAAAGCGGTAGGGGAAGAGACGGTAAAAGGGAACCGACTCGTCAAACGTGACGTCCTGAGAAGGGAAGACACTGCGCGAGGTGGGGTGGTAAAAGTGCCAGCCAGGCGCGTCTGGGACAAAGCCAAGGAAGACGCAGGGGATAGCACGGGGGGAGAGCTTGTCCGCGGACGTATCGTGAACAAAGGCACGAGATCCCCAGACCCGGCACACCGACGCATCGCCAACCTCCCCCGGCGACGGCCAGAGCGCAGAACACCACGTGTTCTGTGTGCCTGTAGTAATCCCTTTCCTTCCTCTTCTGTGCCTCCATTGCAGCCCAGCCTGGGGGTTTGCGGGCTGCGGGGTCTCGGTTCTGTAGCACAGGGTCAGTGATAGTCGTGTCTGTGATCCAGGTCTCTCCACTGTCTGGGTCGCGTACAATCACATCGGCCTTCTTCGGGTCATCCGGTGGTGAGTACATGGCATTCTCCAGGTATACCACCAGCTGTGCCTCCCTCGCCATTTTAGCCATGGCGAAGGCCAGCTGGTTGTGTGTGCGCGTTCTGTCGGGGCCTGTGCTGCAGCGGAGTAGGTGGTTGGGGAGGCTGCAGTCGGCTACGAGCTCTCCACACTCGCACACGGTAGGTACATTCTGTCGGATGCCCATGCGGAAGGCCAGGGCTGTTCGGAATTGCCCTGGTGAAAAGCAGAGTTATGGAGTCAGGGGTAGGGCTTGCAGCCATGCCCCCACTCCCTCGCCTCTCAGGCTGACGAGGCGGAGCGTGTGCCCCGTCTCGGGGGCAGACCTGATTACGCGTGATTCCTCCGTCAGGGCGTCGGCCTTTGCCGCGTGCACTTCCTGAGAGAGGGCGCGCTGCAGCTGGTCTTGGGACAGGGTTTCCTGCTCCTCGCGGAGGTGTTGCAGCACCAGTGGCAGCAGTTGTCCCTCCATGTCTTGGATGGTGACCGAGTGCGCTGCAGACGGCTGCAGGGCGTTCCTGTTGCTCCCTAGCGTCGCGGTTGCTGGAAGGTCAAGTGAGCGGAGCAGGCGTAGCGCCTCTGTTGTCGAAGCCAGGTAGGCTAGTGCTGCTTCTGTTGTGGGGTCCGTGAGGCCCAGCCCACCCAGGGCTACTGGGAGGGTTGCTTGGCGGATAAGGAAGTTGAACTCTGCTTCACGGCGGGGGGGGTGGATGCTGGCGGCAGTCAAGGCGGTGTTGAGCAGCTCGGCGCACCACGCGTGCCATTCCGAAAGAGGTAAGCCGTCTGCTAGGGTGGTGCGCAGCAGGTAGCCGATTCTGCGGCTGATGCAGCGAGAGAATAGCAGGAGGGTATGCTGTGGATGGATGGATGCTAAGGAGCCCAGGGGTGCCGCCGCGTCAGTCAGGGTACTACGGACGAGGTCAGAGCAGAAGCGATGTGACCCCACAGGGCTTCCCAACACCCGTACTCCCTCGTGGGTGAGGGGAAGGCCCTCGGGGAGCTCGTCACCTTGGAGCGGCGAGGAGGACCACGCCGACGACTTTCTGAGGTTGCAGGTGAGGCCATCCTGGGCTAGCAGCGGCGTCAGCACCCTTAGCGCGCCGAGCGTTGCTGTCGCCGGTCCGATCATGGTGATGTCGTCTGCATATGCTAGGACCGTGACTTCGGGGTGCTCTGCCGCTACCTGCTGAGGTGCTGCTGGATTGATGCCGCGAACAGAAGGGGTCCGAGGGGATCCCCTGCCTAACTCCCCTTCTGCTGGTGAGTGCCGTTGAGCTCAAGCGCGGATCGGTCAGCAGCTGTGAAGGCGTCGTGTAGAAGGAGCGTGTGAAAGGTATGAGCGGGGCAAGCGGGGTGTTGGTGAGTGCGTTGAAGAACGCTTTCCTCTCTACAGAGTTGAAAGCGTTCTCAATGTCGAGTTGGAGGACTAGGCTTGAAGTGGTGAGGTCTCTGACTGCATGGATAAGAATTGGGAACTCAGCCCCGCCTGGGACTGCCACGCCAAATTGTTGGGGTAAGAAAAATCGTCTTGTCTCTCCTTGCAGTTCTGAGAGTGCCACCTTTGCTGCCAGCCGAAGCAGGGATTCCCCTATCGCGATAGGGCGTACCCCCCCCCCCTGGTTTCGCGAAGGCGATGAGGCGGGATGGCGAGAGTAGCGCTGCAACCTCGGTGGAGAGATCTGCGAGAGAAGGTGTGTTACGGCGGAGTGCAAGTGCCCCAGTACCTCGATGTTACTTAGGGCTGGGTCGCGGTAATGTTCGAATGTTGACCCTGATGGACCAGCCCCAACTCCGCTGGGGCAATCCCCGAGGACGTTTGAGAAACTTTCCGCGGTGCACGAAAATTGCGTGGGTGTGGTGTAGGTGTGGACCCAGTCGGGCAGGTCAATTTGGGGTTGGGGATGTTTCGATTCCAACTGCTGCAGTGTCGCGATTGTCGCAGGGGCTGCTGGCGAGGGTTGAAGGGCTTCCAGCACTTTTCGCAGGCTACCCCGTTTCACCAGCCCCTCCACACGTGAGCAGATTCCCAGGGGGTCATTTTGGTGCTGAGGTGGTTTGGCTTGGTGCAGGGACCCCGCGTAGTCACTGTACAGCTGGTTCCAGTGGCCACATCTGAATAGGTGCATCTGTTCGACGTTAAGATAGTAGAGTCCCAGCTCATCGCGATCTCAAAGAGATCCTCCCTCGATGCCAGCTGGGACGCCGAAAGTGCCTGGTCCGGAGGGGGTTGGGGTCTGCAGTTCTGTCGGCGTCCAGATCCTCTCTCCTGCTGTTACGCCTACTCCACCCCCGCTTCCGTGCGGGGTGAGACGGGATTGTCAGGTTGCCTCAGATCTGACGGTACATATTCGTCGCCACTCCCCTCTGCGTTTTTATCACCGATTCTCCCTGCTTGCGCTGTCGTTCCTCCTCTCGCCCCGCGCCTGGCGAACGACTGGCGCGTGACTCGTTCCGCCGGCTCCCCCAACCAGATTGGGCTGGCATGGTTATAATCGGGAAACGTTTGTCATTGCAGGAGCCCTCCTACACACCCTCTCGCTCTCTAGTGTTACAGAAGCCTTCCTCTCTCAACCATCCTCTCACCCCTCCTCTCTCTCTTCATCCCACCCCTCCTCTCACTTGTCCTCTCACCCTCCTCTCACCCCTCCTCTCACCCCTCCTCTCCCCTCCTCTCACCCCTCCTCCCACTGCTCCTCCCACCCATCCTCCCACCCCTCCTCTCACCCTTCCTCTTACCCCTCCTCCCACCCCTCCTCTCACCACTCTTTCACCCTTCTCCCACCCCTCCTCACACCCTCTCTTCTCACCCACTCGCCTCTCCCATTTGATCCGTCCCTTTTTTTACCCCTTCCATCTTGGCCTCTCTCCCCTCTCACTCCCTCCACTCGTGGGCCCCTCTTTCCCCCCGTTCAGCACATCTCTCTTTCAGTAATAGACTCGATACCGCAGTGGTTCTCCTCAAACCCTCGCTCCTCACCCACACGGTTACCCCATTCGCCCCACAGAATTGCCGAGACTCTTTTCAGACCGTCCCTTCTCACCCACGCACCTCCCCCATTTGCCTCGCGGCCTTCCCTATTTTATCAAATCCCGTTTCCCATTTCAGCGCATCACCCTCTTCCGACCCTCCCTCCTCCTCACCCACAACGCACCCTACCCGTCACTTCTTTGACTCGCTGCATGTCCTTCCGTCTTGCCCCCCTTCTCTTCACGCCCCCCTTTCATTTCAGCGCATCACCCTCGGCAGTGAGCGGTTTGAGATTGCAGAGTCCCTCTTCAGACCCTCCCTCCTCACCCACAACTCACTTCTCTCACCGCCCTCATACGAGGCCTCCCCATTGGCCGGTCCCGACTCGGCCGGCATTGTTCGGCAGCTTCTGAGTGTGGTGTTCGACGCAGCAGGGCTAGGAGGGGGTGGCGGGGGAGGGGGAGGAGGAGGAGGGGTAGGGGGAGGGATGGGAGGGGTGGGCAGGGGAGGAGGGCTGGGGGGAGGAGGGATGGGGGTGGAAGGGGGGAAGCAGCGGGCAGCTCTTGAGTCAATTGCAGTGGTGGGGGGAGGGTCATGCCTCAAGGGGTTGGTGGATCGGTTTCAGAGTGACGTGCAGATGGCAGTGTCTCCCTCCCTGCAGTCCACCGTTGTGCGGGTGAGTGGGATGAGGGGAGGGGAGGGTGAGTGGGATGAGGGGAGGGGAGGGTGAGTGGGATGAGGGGAGGGGAGGGTGAGTGGGATGAGGGGAGGGGAGGGTGAGTGGGATGAGGGGAGGGGAGGGTGAGTGGGATGAGGGGAGGGGAGGGTGAGTGGGATGAGGGGAGGGGAGGGTGAGTGGGATGAGGGGAGGGGAGGGTGAGTGGGATGAGGGGAGGGGAGGGTGAGTGGGATGAGGGGAGGGGAGGGTGAGTGGGATGAGGGGAGGGGAGGGTGAGTGGGATGAGGGGAGGGGAGGGTGAGTGAAGTGGGGAGGGTGAGTGGGGTGAGCGGTTGGGCGGTTTTGCAGGTGGTTGGGTGTGTTGTGGGTGGGTGTGGTGGTTTGGGTGGGATGGATGATAAAGTGCTGGTTCAGAGTGAAGTGCACATGGCCGTGTCTCTCTCCCTGCAGCCCAGTGTCGTGCGGGTGAGTGGGATGAGTGGGGTGAGTGGGATGAGTGGGATGAGTGGGATGAGTGGGGTGAGTGGGGTGAGTGGGATGAGTGGGGTGAGTGGGGTGAGTGGGGTGAGTGGGATGAGTGGGGTGAGTGGGGTGAGTGGGATGAGTGGGATGAGTGGGATGAGTGGGGTGAGTGGGGTGAGTGGGATGAGTGGGATGAGTGGGATGAGTGGGATGAGTGGGATGAGTGGGGTGAGTGGGGTGAGTGGGATGAGGGGGATGAGCGGGATGAGCGGGATGAGCGGGATGAGCGGGATGAGCGGGATGAGCGGGATGAGCGGGATGAGCGGGATGAGCGGGATGAGCGGGGATGAGTGGGATGAGTGGGATGAGTGGGATGAGTGGGGTGAGTGGGGTGATGAGTGGGGTGAGTGGGGTGAGTGGGGTGAGTGGGATGAGTGGGATGAGTGGGATGAGTGGGATGAGTGGGATGAGTGGGATGAGTGGGATGAGTGGGATGAGTGGGATGAGTGGGATGAGTGGGATGAGTGGGATGAGTGGGATGAGTGGGATGAGTGGGATGAGTGGGATGAGCGGTTGGACCATTGGGTGGTTGGAGGGTTTGTGGGTGGGTGTGGGGGTCTGGGTGGGATGGATGGATGGATGGATGGATGGATGGATGGATGGATGGATGGATGGATGGATGGATGGATGGATGGATGGATGGATGGATGGATGGATGGATGGATGGATGGGTAGAGAGGGCTGGTCGGGACAGGTGGGTGTGAGGTGGGTGGGGAAAGGGGGGAGAACGTGGGTGTGTGAGGAAGAGGAGGGGGGGTCCGGGGGAGAGGGGGAGGGAGGGGGGAAGGGGAAGAGAGAGGGGTGGGGGGTGGGGGGGGGGGATGTCTGGAGGAGAAGGCGCATGGATTAAGTGTGAAACTGGTTCAGAGTGAAGTGGAGTGGCGATGTATTTTCACTGGAGTCCGTCGTGGTAAGAGTAGATGGGTGTTGTTGAGGGCGGTTGAGTGGGTTATGGAAGGGCATGTTTTTTTTTTTTTTTTTTTGTGAAACACAGAGTGCACTTTCTGTTGCTGCATGACGAAGAGTTAGTCCCCGTGGTTTGCTGTTGTACGTAAAGGGTTGTCGGCGTGAGTCGCTGTGTGTGAGGATATGGCATGTGCTTTATGACCAAGTGCAGAACTCACACTCCTCCATAGAGCCCAAGCTCATCCCATTACCATTTCTCTTATCGCCGCCCTCAAACCCCACCATAGGCACCTGACTACATGCCGGACAACACCGCCCGCTATGCTTCGTGGTACGGAGGGGCCATAGTGGCTCGCATTGTGTTCTCTCAGAATCAGCATGTCACCCGCGCTGAGTACAATGAGAGGGGGCCTGCTGCTGTGCACCGCAAGAGCATGTGAGGTGACTGTAGTGCTGTAGTTGTCCTGCCGCTGTGCACCGCAAATGATCCGCAACTGGACCGATCCAGAACCAGCATGTCACTTGCGCAGAGTACCGTACAATGAGAGGCGGCCTGCCGCTGTGCACCGCAAAAGCATGTGACTGTAGTGATGTGACTGTAGTGATGTGACTGTAGTGATGTGATTGTGAATGACTTGCAATTGGTCTTAGTATTCGTTACAATTCTTGGGTGCACGTCTCAAGCAATGAATTTGTTCTTTTTGCAATTGTATTGTGGAGTGTGTTGGGCTGAAAAAGTCCTTAGGATCGTTTCAAGACTAAGATCTCAGAGTGGTGATGTACCGTATGGCCCCGGATATAGGCGCCGTCCGATTAAAGGCGCCGGCGCCTCTATCTGGAGCATGGCGCTTATGGCCGGAACTCGATTATAAGCGCACCCCCTGAAAATTCTATCCTTATTATAAGCGCATCCCTTAACCTTTCATTGGAGGCATTACAAAAGATTTTACTAAATTGTCACTTTTTCTAAGCAACATCAAATTAAGCTAGATCTCCTAACAACAAGTTTAGCCGGGGTACTTCTAGCTACGGTAACATGGATCATACAGTACCCCTCCTACTCCTCCTCGTCAGATTCGGGCTCCTGGCAGTTGTTGCCAAAAAAACCATCAGCGATGATGTCATCGTCGACATCCACTTCAGCTGTCAGCTGGCTCCGCCTGTGCGCCATGGCGAGTCCGTCCTCACTGCCGTCAAGCTGGTTGCTGATGCCACAGGTGAGGAAGGCATGCTTGATGAGGTCGGCCGGCACTGCCTTCCAGGCTTGTGATACCCACCGCAGGACGACCTCTGGTGAAGGCTTCTTCAGGTTCCCTGAAACATTACGGGAGAACGGTGGAAAGCAGTTAGTGCAACAACAAAGAATTCGGGGGGGGGGGGGGGGGGGGGGGGGAATACCGTACTCATGCCATACCTGTTGCTGTCAGCTGCTCTTGCCCCTCTGCCTCAAACCACCTCTGGTACTGCTGGCGGACCGACGCCTTAAAGCTCTTGTTGATGCAGACATCGAGCGGCTGTACCTCCGCCGTACAGCCCGACGGGATGATCGCTGGCACGCAGTTCATCTCGCGGAGCTTCTCCTTCACCTCCTCGGTGAGGTGACCGCGGTAAGAATCCAGCACCAGCATCGAGCTCTTGGCGTGTCTGCCGAACCGAGGCTTCAGGAACGGCTTCACGCCCTCCTCAAGCCAGCGAACGACGCCAGGGGAGTCCATCCACCCGTTCTCGTGGCAAGCCACGGCCACATCTGCATGAAACACGCACGGGTGGTTAGAATTCGAACTCAGAAAAGAACGCAGTGACCGAGCCGTGCACCTCTTTACTTACCGGCAGGGAAATCGCCCTTCGGCAAGGTTTTGCGCTTGAAGAACACCCACGGCTTCAGCTTCCTTCCGTCCGCCGTGCACGCCAACATAACGGTCACTCTCTGCTTCTGATACCCCGCGCTCCTGATAGGCACCGAGCGAACACCCGTTTCCTCCACGGTGGTGGTGGCGGGCATCTCCAGCCAGAGCGGCGTCTGGTCCGCGTTGATGATCCACGCGGTGTCGATGCCGCGCTCACGACGCTTGGCACGCACGAACTGCCGGAAGCTCTTGCACTGCTCAGCGACATCTGCACGGCGGTGGAAGAGACGTCGGACACAGACGGAGGGCGTTAGTACAATTAAAGAAAAACAACGTGCCAAATTGAACGGGGTAATTCTCACGCGCTGCGGTTTTCTGGGCAACCCGGGTCTTCATGCGGACGCTCAGATTCCATCGCCGCCGAAAGCGCTCCGATCACCTCTGGCTTCCTTTCCACTTCTTGTCTGGGTACAGAAGCTTCATGAACTCCCACGACCACTCCTGCAAGCGGCCGACTGACACGGCGGTTCCCTTGCGCCGCCACTCGAGTAGCTTCTCGTACACCTTCAACTCCATCGGCCGGTACCACGACGCTCGCTTGCGGCCGTGCATGCGCTTCCAAGCGGAGTGAACATCCTTGAGGAATTCCGCCGTCCGCTTCCAGTTGGTGAGACACTTCCGGTGGATTCCGCTCTCGCGAGCCAAGGCGCGCACCGACACCGCCAAGTCCATCAGAGCAACCCACTTCAACTTCTCCGCGGCGGTGTAACCTTGCCGCTTGTGGTCGGTGAGCTTGTGCCTGGGAGAGGGGGGGCGGGCATCACGGTTCTGTGAAGAGGGGTGGGGTCGCTTGCGATTATTCGGAGGATAGGTTGGTATGGGCAGTTTCTCGGGTAGCCCGTCGCGTGACCAGTACTCAACGCCGTCGTTGTCAGCGTCGCCCGTAACACCTTCTGGAAACACATCGTCAGCGGTGCCGCCCTGGGCGCCGCCCCCGGCGGAAGCCTCCGTGCCACCCTCGGCGCCGTCAGCGCCGCTCGCTTCCTCAGCGTCAGCAACATCATCGTCAGCGCCGACCGCAGATTCGTCCCAAGGGCAATCGTCGGGCTGTCCCCAACGTCCTCCAGGAAAGTGTTCCACTTCCACGTACTCATCTTGCGCCTTGTTAGACTCCGGTTCGGAGAGGTATTCGTCGAACGCCGATGGGAGCAGTAGCGTGAGCACGGGCTGATTGCCAGTGAGTTGCGGAGATACAGGACCCAGAGGCGGAGGAGCAGGAGGAACAGGAGGCGCAGGAGGTGCAGGAGGCGAAGGAGGAGCAGGAGGCGCAGGAGGCGCAGGAGGCGCAGGAGGCGCAGGAGGCCGTGGTGGCTCTGGTGGTTCTGGTGGGATACGGGAGTACCACCCGTCAGCGTCTACTCTAAACGCGGGCCTTCGCGTAGGCTTTTTCTTGAACAAGAAGTGGGTGCCGCTGAATTCCGCCATGGCGGCGGAATTCAGGCGAGAACTACCAAGAAACCGAACGAGAAACTGAGAGAGATGGAGAACAAATGAGAGATTCAAAGGGACCCCTTCTGGTTAGCGCCTCGGGGTCCTCGTCGGGGAGAGACGGGTACCCCCTGTCTGAACCCGGAGAGGAGGTTATCGCGGCACGGGAACTGCTGCGCTGGCAGGGCATTCCAGCCCCTTCTCGATGGTTCGGGTGAAATGCAGCTGCCTGCCAGCGCATGAAAGCCTGATTGGGCCGCAAGGCAACTTTCACGTCAGCGCTGGCAGGTGCGCTGCTCGTGGACGGGATTTGTGCGGTCGGGAATCGAAGCGCAGCAGTTTTCGGCGGGATTACATGCATTATCCCACGCGCACGTTACTCAATTGTGTTCGCCTTATTGCGGGCTTCGATTTGGTACATAAAAATAACAAATTCATTTTTGCCATGATATAAGCGCCGGCACTTATGGCCGTTATTCAATTACAAGCGCCACCCCTAAAAAAAATGATTTTATTATAGGCGCATATGCGCCTATATCCGGGGTAATACGGTATTTAGTGGAAGCGTAATAGTGGATTAATTGGACCACCTTGTACTAGTATGTGAGAACAAGATGAATTGATTATAGCAAAGAGATACAAGGTTTTATATGATTACAAGGAATACGAAGGGTTTAACTGTAACTGCTGTTGCGGTTCGATACAGCGACGACTCGGGTAACTGCTCAATAGCGAGTCAGTTATTTGTCATTGCTGTTGTGCTGCCTTTGTCAAGTCAAAGGTCACTGGCCTTTGACCTTCGCTTCAACCTCCTGCTGTTGTCGCCTTGTCAACCGCTTTAGTTGACTCGGTGTTGCTTCGCTGTGAGTATGCTTCTCTTTTGCTATAGTGCTCGATACTTCAGAAGCGCAAACTAAATGTTTCCAACACTCCCCTTTGCTTCTGGAGTGTTATTGCCTTCGTTGCTGGTGACGTGTGTGAAGAAAGAAACAGGAATGAATGAACTAGGAAAGTGTGAGATACAAATATGAAAGCTGTACCCCTTAGTGTCTACCCCACTACAGCCTACATAGGCTAAGGCATATACATCTGACACACCCCCATAGGCAAAGTGGGGGAGAACTAGGGGTCATAAGACCAGTCAAGCAAAGCAAAGCAAAGCAAGCTCAGGGTGGATCACAACGTCACCACACAGTCTGAGCACAGGTTCAAAGGCCACAAGGCCAGTTCACATGCAAATTCATATATAAAGGTAAACAAGCAAGTGCAGGTATATATAGATCACAGAACAAGCAAAGTCAAGAGGTAAGCAAGTGAGGCCAAGTAGGCACAAGACCTAGCATAGTACAGAAGCGCTGATGATCACAAGGCTGAAGTGCCTTGGTAAAGATATCAGCAGTGTTAGCCTGAGAGGCCACGTAAGCAAGGCGCAGCTGGCCACGCTGCTGCAGCTCACGAGCAAGGAAGTAGCGAAGAGCAATGTGCTTCGTTCTGTGCTCCAGTCTGTGCTCCCGACACAAGGCCAGCATGGCCTTGTTGTCTACGTACAGAACTGGAGGAGAACGAGGCGGCTCTCCCAGGTCAGTCAGCAAGTAGGTGAGCCAGCGTAACTCCTGTGCAGCCATGGCCCCTGCGTAGATCTCAGCCTCACAGCTGGAGCTGAGAACAGAAGACGAGCGGGTAGACCGCCACGAAACAGAGCCGGAACCAAGGCTGAAGGTGTACCCCTGTGACGACCGCTGTGTAGCCAGGTCGTCCACCCAAGACGCGTCTGCGTGACCAGTGAGGACCACTGGACTCCGCCCTCCAAGCACTAGCCCCAAGCCCGAAGTACTGCACAAGTAGCGCAACACCCTCTTCGCTGCAGCCATGTGCTCTGGTCGGTGTCTCCCAGGAGCAACATAGCGCGCCAGAATGCTCTGAGGGTATGCTAGGTCAGGTCGAGTGCAGGTCATCAGGTACATGAGGCAGCCAACAAGCTCTGGGTACGGGCCACTCGGCTCTACGGACTCATCCGAAGGCAGAGCTGAGAGCGAGTGGCGAGTAGACAGAGGAGTGGCCTGAGGCGAGGAGTACGTGAAGTCGAAGCGCTGAAGGACCTGCTGCACCATGTGTGACTGAGTCAGGGTGATGGTGCACCATGCTCTGTCCCGGGTGATCTGCAAGCCAAGATAGCTGCGCAGTTCACCCAGGTCTGTGCACGTGTGTCTCTTCTGCAGCTCGGACTTCACGTGGGCGAGTCCAGCAGTGTCAGCTGTAGCAAACACCAAGTCGTCGACGTACACGAGGATGTAGAACGGCGGCAGTAAGGTGTCGGTGCGAAGAAACAGCGACGGGTCAGCAGTGGAAGGAGCAAACCCAAGAGCCGCAAGCGTAGTCCTCAGTGTGTCGTGCCACTCACGTGGCGCCTGGCGGAGACCGTAGACTGGCCGCCGGAGGCTCCACTGGGTACCAGGAGGAAACGACCCAGTGAAGCCAGGTGGGCGGCGCAGCCAGATCTCCTCGTGCAGACTGCCCTGTAGGAAAGCAGTGCTGAAGTCAAGGGAGTGAAGCTCGTAGTCACGGTGAGCAGCAACGTGCAGCAGAACCCGAAGAGTGGTCATCTTCGGGGTCGAGGAGAAGGTCTGAAAGTAGTCAACTCCCTGCCGCTGACTGAAGCCTCGAGCCACGTAACGCGCCTTGAAGACAGGCGGAGAGCCCGGCGGCCGCTTCACCCTGAAGATCCACATGCCACTGACGATGTTCGCCCCAGGTGGGGGAACCTCGTCGACGTAGGTGCCTGTGGACTTCCAGGAAGCCATCTCTGCGTCCATGGCTGCCTGCCACTGAGAGGAGTAAGGATCCTCTATCGCCTCTGCGTAAGAGCGCGGGGTCGGGATGTCTGGTGCATCCGGGTCTCCCTCAGGGGCAAGCAGTGTGGACACGAGATGAGGTAAAGTAGCAGCAAAACACTGGAACTCCTCCTGTCGGTCCTCAAGGACGTCCGTGCTAAGAGCACACTCACCCCCGACGGACGGAGGACAGACAGACGCAGACGCTGACTCAGCAACAAGACTAGCGGCGTAGTCTAGACGACAGTGAGCAGCGAAGTCGACAAGCTCGGCAACTAAGGCAGACGCAGCAGTGGACTCAAAGGAAGGGCCAGTGACAACAGTGGCTAGGAAACGCGTGACAGGAGGACTGGCAGCACGAAGGGAGTCAGACGCCGGGTCAGCAAGAGCAGGAAGAGAGGACTCTGGAGGAGACGGCAAAGGGACACGCTGTGGCGCAGTGGAAGGACGCAGTGTCATCTGATGCGTACCCGGGACTGCAGGAGGACGCAGATGTGGAACACGACGACTAGTGCGAGCAGTGCGAACAGGCGACGCATGACGCGACTCAGGGGCACGACGCTCAGCAAGACCTCCAGTAGGACCAGAGTAGGGAGAAGGAGCAGGCAGAGGGGAGACCAGCTGTAACTGTGACTCGGACTGGACAGGCGGAGGATGTTACGATACGATCTTAACTAGAGTACGGGTTTAACTAAGGGCCTAGGCTTAGTAGCCTAGGCCAAACGGGTGTCGAGGGAGTTGTGCCAAGGGAGAATCGAGAATGTGTGTCTTCACTATAGGTTTGCAAGAACATATAGCAAACAAACAAAGAGGTGCACCACCACAACAAAGAAACATAACTACACTAAAGCTAAAGCTACAGGCAGTTATAAACATATATAAATATATATCGCGACACACCCCCTTAACTGCCTGCAGCACATAGCTAGAGCAAGTCACACCCCCTGAAGGGGTATAGCAGGTGCGGTGGGAGACGGCAGAGGGGTACGTGAGGAGGAGGAGGCAAGAGGAAGAGAGGAGAGGAGAATAGATAAGAACACAGGAGGAGGTGAGCGGGGGATGAGGAGAGGAGGTGGGGGGGTGGCCGCAGCGTCCCCTCTTACTAACCCCCTTTTACGAAAGGGGGGTTGAGTGGGGGATGAGGAGAGGAGGTGGGGGGGTGGCCGCAGCGTCCCCTCTTACTAACCCCCACATCCCCACTCCCAACCAACCACCCGCCCTCAACCTCACCCCCCATTTCAGCCGCCCCCTGGAACCGCACTCCCTCCACCCCTGTATTCTTCCATACCTCTCCCAACCCACGATGGTCCCTGTACAGTCTTTCACAAGTGGGCTGCTGGGCACAGGTTGGGCTGCTGGTCACAGGTGGGGCTGCTGGTCACAGGTGGGGCTGCTGGTCACAGGTGGGGCTGCTGGTCACAGGTGGGGCTGCTGGTCACAGGTGGGGCTGCTGGTCACAGGTGGGGTTGCTGGTGCTGGTGCTGGCGCTGGCGCTGGTGCTGGTTCCTGGTGCTGGCGGCTGGCGCTGGGGCTGGTTCCTGGTGCTGGCGGCTGGCGCTGGGGCTGGTTCCTGGTGCTGGCGGCTGGCGCTGGGGCTGGTTCCTGGTGCTGGCGGCTGGCGCTGGGGCTGGTTCCTGGTGCTGGCGGCTGGCGCTGGTGCTGGTTCCTGGTGCTGGCGGTTGGCGCTGGGGCTGGTTCCTGGTGCTGGCGGCTAGCGCTGGGGCTGGTTCCTGGTGCTGGCGGCTGGCGCTGGGGCTGGTTCCTGGTGCTGGCGGCTGGCGCTGGGGCTGGTGCCTGGTGCTGGCGGCTGGTGCTGGTGCTGGTTCCTGGTGCTGGCAGCTGGCGCTGGTGCTGGTTCCGCCGCCACTCCCTTCCCCTCCTCTCTCTCCTTTTCACAGCGTCCCGCCGCCACTCCCTTCCCCTCCTCTCTCTCCTTTCCACAGCGTCCCGCCGCCACTCCCTTCCCATCCTCCCTCTCCTCCCCATGGCGACCGCCGCTGCACACGCAAACAGTCGCGACGGGGGGGGGTGACGGGCAGGGGGCGGGGGGAATGCGACGGGCAGAGCGGGCGAATGAGCGGCTGGGGCGATCGCCGGTGCTCTGGCGATCGTCGCTGGTGTTCCCCCGTCACTCCTATCCCCTCTTCCCTCTCGCCCCCACAGAGTTCCGCCGCCACTCCCATCCCTTCTTCCCTCTCCCCCCCACAGCGACCGCCGGTGCGACAGGCGAGGTGCAGGGTGGCGCTGGCTGCAGTCGATGGCGCAAACGCGATCGCGGGCCGCTGGCGACTTCGCTGGCGACTTCGCAGGCGGGTCGCTGGCGGTCGCCATAGCGTCCGCTGCGCCCGTCGCGCTGAGAGCCGCGACGAGGCAGGCGACGACGATGCGACGGGCAGGCGACGGGGGGCAGCGCGAGCAGCAGGGAAAAAAAAAAGATACGCAAGGTGCGGATTTCGCGCCACTAACTGTAGCAGTCGCGAAATGTGATGGGCCCATAAACGAAATAGGTCCTAGGACGGACCGCTCTGTTACCATGTTACGATACGATCTTAACTAGAGTACGGGTTTAACTAAGGGCCTAGGCTTAGTAGCCTAGGCCAAACGGGTGTCGAGGGAGTTGTGCCAAGGGAGAATCGAGAATGTGTGTCTTCACTATAGGTTTGCAAGAACATATAGCAAAGAAACAAAGAGGTGCACCACCACAACAAAGAAACATAACTACACTAAAGCTAAAGCTACAGGCAGTTATAAACATATATAAATATATATCGCAACAGAGGACACTCTAAGGAAGGAGCAGGACTAGGAGAAGGCGGAAGACCAAGAACCTGCTCAAGGAGCGGAACGAAGTACGGTCGCGGCCGCGCAGCACCTCCAGAGCCAGCAGGGACAACACCAGTACCCCCAGCGTCAGCTCCAACTCCAGCAGCACCACCAGCTCCAGTACCTCCAGCAGCTCCAGCTCCAGCAGGACCACCAGCAGACACAGCCGCTCCGGCTCCAGGACCTCCAGTAGCACCCACTCCAGCAGCACCACCAGCTCCAGCTCCACCAGTAGCTCCAGCACCAGGAGCACCACCAGGCCCAGCAGCTCCAGTACCTCCAGTACGAGCACCTCCGGGACCCGTGGCTCCAGCACCCCCAGCAGAAGCAGAACCTCCAGTACCGGCTCCAGCAACACCTCCAGCTCCAGAACCTCCAGCAGCAGCAGAACCTCCAGCTCCAGCAGCACGGCTCCAGCGCCGAGCAAACCACTCGCGCAGCTCCTGTGGAGAGGGAAGCTCCCGCCGGGACAAAGCACCCGAAGGACCGCCAGGTCCAGCACCGACAGGCTCCACACCCCCACTCCCAGCAGCCCCAGGCTCAGTACCCCCAGAAGCAGCACCCCCAGACCCCGCACGCTCAGGCTCAGCACCCCCAGACCCAGCACCCCCAGGCTCCGCACGCTCAGGCTCAGCACCCCCAGACCCAGCACCCCCAGGCTCCGCACGCTCAGGCTCAGCACCCCCAGACGCACCAGAGTCAGCAGCTACCTCGACAGGCTCGACTGCATCTACCTGGGACACACCTGAGGGGGCAGGACCCTGAGGGGGGAGGGGGTCTACCGGGGGGGGACCGGGAGCAAGGAAGAGCGGCGGGGGGGGGAGGGGGGCAGTGCGGTAGGGGAAGAGACGGTAGTACGGAACCGACTCGTCAAACGTGACGTCCTGGGAGGACAGAACACGACGCGAGGTGGGGTGGTAAAACAGCCAACCAGGCGCGTCAGGGGGAAAGCCGAGGAAGACGCAAGGAACAGCACGGGAGGACAGCTTGTCCGCAGACAAGTCTCGGACGAAAGCTCGAGATCCCCAGACACGGAACGCAGACGCATCACCAACCTTCCCCGTCCACCGCAGAGTAGGGGAGGTCTCCGGCAGGGAGACCCGGGGCTGAAGGTTGATCTGATGCGCCGCGTACTGAACCGCAAACAGCCACAGAAAATGGGGAGCAGCCGCATGGATCATGGACGTACGAGCGACATCCATGACCATGCCAATGCGGCGCTCAGCAATCCCATTTTGCTGTGGAGAGGCCGGAAGCGTGAACGTCTGGCGGATGCCCTCCGCACGACAGAAGGCTCGCAGAAGGTCGGAGGAAAACTCTCCACCTCTGTCGGAGTGCAGACGCAGAACAGGAAAGTCCAAGCCGAAACGCTCTCTGAGCTGGAGACGAGCAACGCGGATCCAGTCGATCAACACCTCAGTGACCTCACCCTTGCTGCGCAAGGGGAAGACTGTGGTGTAACGCGAGTAGTCGTCAACCACCAGCAGGAAGTAACGCTCGTGACCCTGTCCACGGACGCGGGCTGGGCCTCACACGTCCATGTGAAGAGTCTGCAGTGGAGCCTCTGTGGGGGGAAACTCGGAGGAGTGAGGAGCGGCGCGCTGCCGCCCCTCGACGCAGGGAACGCAGGTAGGGGCAGGCCCCGGGGGAAGGGGAGGGAGGGACCGGGGGAGACCAGAGACAAGGACACGGGAGGCCATACCTCGGAGACGAGGTAAGGAGGGGTGACCAAGTCGGTGGTGCCAGAGGAGGGTCTGGTGGGACAGGAGGCGACACGAGCAGGGGGCAGACTCAGGACCTGACCGAGACGCTGCAGCAAACACCTGACTCGACGCAGCTACCTGACCAGACGCAGCAACCGGAGGAGACTCTGTGGTCAGTGTGTACAGGCTCGACCCCGGTCGACGGGTAAACGTGGCCAAGTGGCGGCCCGTCTGAGCACACGAGCAGTGGGTCACTCGCTGCCGTGCAGGAGTGAACTGGTCAACTCCGGCATCCTGAAGGTCAGCACCACTCACCAAGTTCGTGGAGAACGAGGGGAGGTAGAGACCAGACAGGGAGCCTGACGGGGCCGCCGGACACGGGAGGACAGTGGAGTAGCGAGCAAGGACAGGACCCCCAGAGGGGTCTGCCAGGGAGACCGCAACCGGCCGACTGAGCGGCGTAAGGGTGGTGCGGTCTCGAAAGAAGGAGCGGGAAGCACCCGAGTCGAGGGTGAAGGTGTGCAAGACCTGAGCCGACTCGGTACCTGAGAGAGCAGACTCACCAGCACCTAGAGGAGCAGACTCACGAGTACCTGGAGCAGCAGACTCACTAGCACCTAGAGCAGCAGCCTCAATACCAGGGTCAGGCGGAACACACACGTAACGGTCACCCTCAGCACTAATAGACACAGCATACATAGCAGCAAGAATAGCATCAAAGTCAAGATCAAAGATACCTACCCCCGACCTGTGCAGGTCATGCCAACGAGGGATCTCAGTGGCGTCCGGGAACTGGGCACACCAGGCGTCCGTCAGGCGACCGAAGCAGCACTGGGTGGCGTGCAGGCCGCCACACTGCTCTCCAGTGCGGTCGCCGGTGCGCAGGACGTAAGTACAGGGACCAGCACCTCCAGCCCCCTGACGCCCCGCGTACCACTCACGAAGCTGCTGGGGCGAAGGGGTCCCACGAGAGCGCTGCTGCTGCTGGGGTCCCCGCTGCTCAGCTCCGCCTCTGCCGGCTCCACCTCCGCCGCCGCCGCCTCCGCCTCCTCCACCCCTCCCACCACCGCCACCGCTGCCTCCACCTCCACCGCCGCCACCGAAGCCCCCACCTCTGCCACCACCCCCACCCCCACCCCCTCCTCCGCCGCCTCCGCCACTACTGCCGCCCCCACTACCTCCTCCAGCTCCCCTGCCCCGCTTGCCCTTGCTGATGCGGCGCCTCTCACTAGGAGCAGACGTAGCGCTGGCCGACTCGGTGCCAACAAGGTCGACAGCAGCAGCAGAGGCAACAGAGGGCAAAAGAGGAACGGGGGAGCACCCCTCAAAGAAAGGGGTACGGTGGTCACCACGAGAGGCGCCTACAGCGGTAATACTAGTCTCTGCTGCAAGGAGGCGCTCCTCAAGGAGGTCGACAGTGAGGGTGGTAGGGCAGAGAGAGAGGAAGTGGTCCCTGACCGAGCGGAGAGTGTCAGGGAGTCGAGTGACTAGGTAGTAGAGGGTGATGTACATGGGGGGGGGGTTCTGGGCGCAGAACTCAGCAGGGAGCGCAGCGCGGTAGCGAGTGTCACTAGTGCGGAGGTGCGTAATGAGGTTAGTGACTGTGGCAAAGGCAGCGAGGTCCGGGAAAAGGTACGGGAGCATGAGGCGGCTAAGCGCAGCAGTGGCAGGGGAAGAGTAGCGTGCAACTACAGCGTCGTACAGAGTCCTAGCACTCTTGTACTGACTAAAGTGCGCGCGCTTAGTAGCCGGTAGGTGACTGCGCACAGCAAGGCGGGCAGCAGCATCGCGCGTGAGCCACTGCGAGTGAACGGTACTGTCAGCATCAGCAGCAGGGGCAGTAGAGGCGCCCGACGTAAGGTCAAACAGGGAGAGGCCATCTCTGCTATCGCACTGAAGGAAAAGCTGCAAGTCATCGAGCCAGACATCAAATGCAACCGCTCGACCCTCAGCATCAAAGGTGAGAAGGGTAGGACTAGCCATGGTAGGAGCAGCAGGAGACTAGCAGCGGCAGCAGTGCAACTGAGCTAGGCAGGACAGCGCGACTCGGCAGGGCGACTCGACAGCGCAGTGCGGCTCGGCCGCGCGGCTCGGCCCGGCTAGGTCTCACCAGGGGCAGAGCCGAGAGTTCGGGGCTGGGTCGGGGCCGGAACAGGGCCGGGACAGGGTCGGGGCCGAGTAGGGTCCGGGACAGGGTCGGGGCCGAGCAGCAACGGGGCCGGGACAGGGTCGGGGCCGGGCCAAGTCCGGGACAAAGTCGAGGCCGAGTGGCCGCGGCAAGGGCCGCGTCAGGGACAGGGCCGGGCCGGGCCGTGCAGGGACGGCGTAGGGGCCGCGTCAGGGGCGGCTGAGGGCCGCGTCAGGGGCGGCGTAGGGGCCGCGTAGGGGCGGCTAGGGGCGGCGTCAGGGGCGGCGTAGGGGCCGCGTCAGGGGCCGCGTAGGGGCCGCGTCAGGGGCCGCGGCAGGGGTCGCGTCAGGGGCCGCGTCAGGGGCCGCGGCAGGGGCGGCGCAGGGGCCGCGTCAGGGGCGGTGCAGGGGCCGCGTTAGGGGCGACGTAGCGGCCGCGGCAGGGGCGACGTAGGGGCCGCGTCAGGGGCCGCGGCAGGGGTCGCGTCAGGGGCCGCGTCAGGGGCCGCGGCAGGGGCGGCGCAGGGGCCGCGTCAGGGGCGGCGCAGGGGCCGCGTCAGGGGCGGCGCAGGGGCCGCGGCAGGGGCGATGTAGGGGCCGCGTCAGGGGCGGCGGAGGGGCCGCGTCAGGGGCGGCGAAGGGGCCGCGTCAGGGGCGGCGTAGGGGCCGCGTCAGGGGCC